CTGCTGCTCCTGCTCCAGGGATCCCAGAGCCTCCTGGCCCTGCCTGTGCTCAGGGAACTCAGTGCTTAGGGAGGCCAGGGATAAATAACACAGAGCATCTGCACTGGGGCTGCCCTGCACCAGCACTGCCAAAATACTGTGAGTTGTTCTGTTATTTTTGTATTCTTTCCTGGCTTTGCTGCAATATTGTCCTGCCTGTGCAGGCATGCCCCAGGCAGATTTCATAAAAAGGCAGCACTTACTTAAAAAGAAAGGAACAGGAAATAAGTATTTGTGTTATGGTTACCTCTAATTTTAGAAGGAGGGAATTTTGTTGGGAAGAATTCTCTTTGGCACACTTCACAATTTAATAAAGTTCCTATTAATATTTTCTGAGTAGTGAAATGAATAATAACTTATATGTAATACAGAGAGCCAAGTGTCATAGTGAAATAAAATGGGGTAGGAACATAATTTTGCAGTTGTGTTCTGCTTTGATAAATACATATCCAAGGTTTCACCTGCCAGGGACACATCCATGGGTGCTCTTGCTGTACTTAGGACACTAAATGGTGAGAGCTGCTGAAGAATATTGGTCTTGTGAATGGCTGTTGGGAAATTTCTTGTGCAGCTGTATTTTATACAGATTACTGAGGTGCAGAATCCAGTTTAAGGTATGGTTTTCCTCATCCAAGCAGGAGTGGGCCCTGCTCAGCTATAATAGCATTTCAGCATTCTGTAGCGTTTGCTGCACTGTCCATGGAAAACTTTGCAATTATGTTTGTTCTGGAGTCTGAAAAAAATTACTTTTATTTCAGGGGATATTGATTATAATGCTGTTATCCTTGCAGTGTAAACATGTCATTTAAGAAACAGAGAAAACACTGGTTATAAGAAGTGCTTAGTCAACTAAAATTCTCAACTTCAAGATATCAGACTAACAGGGTAGATTGTCTGGTTCAGGCAGTTGAAGGGGACTAGGCAATAACCAGCAAGAATGTGATTTCAGGGGTGACCTTATTAGCTTGAGCTTTAATGCTTTTGGCAACTCAATTTCTCATGTAGTTTGTAGATGAGGCCCATCTGTTGCATTTGGAAAGCTTCAGGATTTTCAATGACTTGACCAAAAGTGAGAACAGTTGAGAATGGAGGGAGAAGGAAGGAATAGCGAAGACATTTTTTGTAAATAATCTAATTTCTGCCTGCAGTTTTACATGGGCAATAATATTAGTCTTTATCACCTTGTTTGTAAATAAACTATTGAAACTTCTGCAGAAATTTATGTCAGGTGTTCTAAAATTTACTTCAATGTTCTGTAAAAATTTAAATAACAACATGTGTCTGTACAAAATGCCATTAAATATCCCATGGTGGATGTTTACTACCTTCATTTTACTTCATGGCTTTTTCAGCTGGAGGCTGAGGGTCGCTCCCTGAGACAGGTACAGGATACCTTGGGATTTTTACCAGTTCTTAGCTTTGGAGAATGCATGGCAGTAACACAGGAGAGAAGGAGCAGGAGCATTTCTACTCTGATGGGTCACTGAGCCATCATCACATGAGCAGAGAGGAACATCCACAGGTGCCCATGAGGAAATCCATGCCAGCATTCAGTTCTTGTTTTGTTTCTGTATCTTGCAGCTGTACATCCCAGCACAGAGCAGTGCTGCTCTTTGTGGCACAGATTCTGTCACCTTCACAGGAGCTGAGCCCTTGCTTTGTGATGTTGCTGATCTCAGCTCAGAGGATGAGTATCAAGTATGAAAAATGATGGCAGAAGTACAGAATGACCATCATTGCTGGCTCTGGTTTAATCCTGAGATCAAAAGTGTTCTGTTAGGACAGAACTAGCAAAACATAAAGCCTTTAAAACATAAGCCTTTAAAATAGAGCTTCAGAGAAATTGCACAGCTAAAATTGATATAGCTGAAACTAAAACTGCACTGAAAAGTTGTGGTAGGCTGAATATAGATCATAATGGCAGCAGCTTCCCTTAAAAAAGAGTCTCTACTTATAATGTTTTGCATTTATAAAGGCCTAAATTCTCCAAAGATCTGGTGGTTTCCCAGTATCTGAGGATTTGGGGCCAGAATGTGCTCAGCCTAGTGCAGGACCAGACCAGGGATGACCCATTACGTTGCCATAAGAAGAAACCCAGAGTGCTTTTAAGGAGAGAATAAATTTAATCTCAGAAATTCTGATTACACTTAGCATTTACTTATATAAAAATAATAATTACAAAGAAGTAATTATTTGTAATTATTATTAGGCTTTCAGTAAGAAGTGTGCAGATTACCCCTTTATCCTGCATAACATTTATTAGAAATACACCCATTCCAAACTGATGAGTTTCATTCTTATTTAAATGAAAGGATGGCAAAAGTTTGCTTTGAAAATGCTGCACTGGCCTTACTCACTTTTATGGTCTGATGGTTGTTATTTTTGTGGTGTGTTCCCCTGCCCAGCTATGGCTGTGCAGGTAAAATTACTCATGAGTTTAATTATTTAAAGGATTGCACTTCCTGTACTTCAGCGTGACTCGGTGGATTCTAAAACCTCAATCTTTTCAGGTAACTGGTGGGAGCTCAGTAAAACACACTGATAAATATTTTGCCCTGCTCTGGAGGGTGGTGTAGCAGCAGTTCTCCTCAGGTGCCAGTTGTCACCCAATCCCAAGTTATTTGTTATTTTTGTTTCACACCTGAATGGTGTCAGTCTGCCCACGGTGATAATCCCAGGCTTTGATCCGTACCTTCAGAGGGAGATTGTTTTTGTGACACAAGGTATTATTGCTCTGGTCTGACTGTAATGAGCTGTGTGGATGAAGTCTGATATTAATCCACAGTGCCCCGTGTGAAAGCTGAGAACGCTGAGAACCAGAGCTGCTCGAGTTCCTGTGAACAAATGTGTGCAGCCATCATGGCTGCTCTCCTGGCCCCACAGCCTGGGGCATGAATGTGCTTGTTGAACCCTGCAGTTCTCTAAAAGTCACCAGCTAATCACAGATAAGATGATGAAAAAGAGATGAGTGTCTGTGCAGGGGGTGCAAAGCTTTGTCTCCTTGTCACAAGTGTGACCCCACAGTCACAGCTGCCCTGGGGTGGCTGCACAGCAGCCTGGCTGCCCTGGTGTGGTGTGGGGGCCACCTCAGAGTGCAGTGGGAGCTTTATTCCACTCTGCTGTCGCTCTGGGGCAGTGACAGATGTGGTGAAGCAGAATGCCACTTGCACTGTTGAAGGAAGATGCAGAAGTGCAGTAGCAGCCCTGGTTAGTTTTGTGTTACCTCGCTGCAGAGACCTGAGGTGGGCTCCTGGAGGTGCTGGCCTGTACCCTTTGGAAAGCAAACCAAAATGGAATCATTCATAAATCCCTTGCTCAGTAGATGCTGCAGGTACCCTGGAGGCTGGTAGCAAAGCAGCAGTGGCGTGGTCTGTTCTGAGGAAGCCCTTCCTTTTCTTAACACTATCAAACCCCAACCCTCCTGTTTCCTGTGCAGTTTGAACCTAAGGATGGATTTCTGGTTTTAAAAAGAAAATTAGTGCAAAAGGTATTTTTAAGTGGGTGTTGAGGGATACATCTCTTTGATGAGACAGAATTGAGCTGCAGGTTCATAACCAGGACAGGGATGGTTCATTCTGCACTGCAGCAGCTTGGTGGAGAACTCACTCATTGCAGTGATGCTCCAAGGGCACAGCCTCTGGAGGTACCCTGAGAAGGTTTTCTTTAAGCCCTTCTTGCTAAAACTAAATGCAGAATATTAAGGGCAGGGAAAATGCCTCCAAAAGCTGTTTGAATTCCCTTTCAAGCCACTCTAGCAATCTGTGTCAGTGTGTATGGTTTAAACAATGGGGACTGTTCATTGAGGAAGACTCTTCAGGTGTGCTGGGACCTATCCACGGTAGGCAGAGGAGCAAAGAGAAAGTCAACATTACCTTTAGAATTTGCTTAGAGGCTAATGTTGGATTTCTTATGTCCAGTATTCATTCAGTAGAATTAGACCTGCTAATTCAGTATTCATTTTGCATTCCTATGATTTAAAATGGATATTTCATTTACTGTTTCTACCAGATATATATTCCTAGGTTATACCATGCAGCACTGCTTTCCAAAAACTAAATGCTCTTTTTCCAGGAAATTTCACTGAGATTTATTTTGTTTTCAGCAGGCACAGTATTTTCCTGATCAATGAAAGAACATATAGGGGTTTTTTTTGGAAAATACTGTCTATAAATTTTTGTAGCACATCACCATTTACTTTGAATTTTAAGGGGACTTACCAAAAGGGAAAGAACAGGCACATCTGATTGTGGCCATAATTATATTCAAGGATAAATTATCCTAATAAGCTGTGGTGACCTGTAATTCATAATAAATTTGGTATTTTGTAAGGAAACTGATACAAACTTCAGTATATTAAAAATTGTGTAAATTGTTCTAATAACTGGCATTGAACTGGTTGTTTAGCATTTCTTCTGTGGGGAACTGAAATTTTACCAATATTTTGCCTAAATTCAAATTTTTTTAATGTGAGAGGAAAAGTAATAGTCCTGTTAATAAATGGTAATGTTGTAAGTAGTGAAGAGTAAAATATATTTCCATATATTTTTATGAAGGTTAAGACATGTTTAGATTTTGATGGAAGAGTTAATATAAAAACCAAATCTAGCTTATTTCATGTAATGAGTTATGTTGGTGGGGCAGGTTTTCTGTAGCTGTAAAAGGCAGCTTGGAGGAGAGAGAGGATATCAGCTTGGAGTCCATACTTGTTAGGTAACAATTTCTTGAAAAGAAGACACACTATTTATTGTTCTTCTTTTAATAATTCTTCTCCCTTTCTAGAAAATGCACAGCTTTTTCTTTCCAGTGTGATATAATCTCTTTCCCAAGATTTTTTTTTTAAATTTGGCTTCATTTTCATAACCTTCAATTAAATATTCACCACTGTTCTTTTTCCTGAGAAGATAATCTGTGATCTCCATCACATACTATACCATTAAATATTATTCCACTATTTTCTGCAGGAGCACCTGTCATTAAAAAAGTACATTGTGGACATTGTGATTGAGAGTTCTGTTCCTGTGGAACCATTAAAAGATGGAGAAGAGAAACAGAAAATTAAAAAGAAAGCCAAAAAGCTGAAGGCACGGATGAACTCCAGGTAGTACCAATTTCTTTTTATTTTTATTTTTTTCTAAGTTTTGTTCTAAACTTTACCTTCTGTCCTCTAGTGCGAATGCAGTAGAAGGCTGAAAAAAATGTAAAATTATTTGCTTTGGGAATGTCTTGAAAATAACACTGATGAGCCTAATTTATGGCCACTTTCTCTGATTGAGAAAGAAAACTGAATATCGATCTGGAGCCCTTGGTTTCACCTGTTAAGAGCTTTTCTCATAATTGGATGCCAGTGCCCTGCCAAAACTGTAGCCTCTTCTAGCATACAATAGCATGTTTAAATTTGTGTAAACCATGCCTATTTTTCTTTCTAGCTATTGATTTTTAAATGAGGTATCAAAGAAAATCAATAGTAATCAACAAATAGAAGTCAGCCTGCTGTAGTGTCAAATCCCATGACTAAATTTAATCATTTTTTTTGCCTGTCACAACAAGAAGAAAGTTAAAAATATCTTCAAGTGGAAAGTGAGTTGTCAGATGTGCAATTTGTTCTTAGTCTAAAAAGTGACATCTGCAAATCAGTGTGATGTGCAGGACATCATTATATCATGAACTGGCAGTGTCACTCCTCATGGCTGAACGGCCCCAGCTCAGGTTAATGCTCAGCTGAATATTGTAGCATATTTTTGCATTTCTCTCTAAAAATACTTCTCACCTAGATAAGAGTCATTGTTACACATTTTCTCTGCCTTTTTAAGCGTGAAGGGTTTCAAATAAGAGAAAAAAGCATGCATAGATTTTTAGAGCTACAGTAAAGTGAGATGTTTCATTAACTCCTAGCAGGCACATCAGCCTTCAAAACCACAACACTCTTAGAGTGTATTATTGTTCTGACTGCTCTCCTCTTTGGCTGAGCAGATCCACTTGCTGAATGTCACTATTGGAACTGGATAATGTTCTTTAGGTTTCTGGATGCTCAGGATGCAGAGTTATTCATATGACCTGTTGATTTAATGCAGTATCTGGGTCCAGTTTTAATTATTTCTCCAGGGTGACTTCTGTTGAATTTAGGCAAAGATTTGTCAGACCCTGGAATGCAAGTTGACACAATAATTTATTGTTGGCACAAATTGGAGAAAAACTTTTCCAGAACATTTTGAGTTTGTATGTGTCAGACTGCTGTGTGAGTCAGCATATTTGTCATTAGAAATTGTGATTAAAACAGTAATAAGTAATAAAGGGCCATCATTTTGCAATGGTGCTGTGCTATTGAAAAATACAGTGAAAGTTTCAAAATCTAAGTTATACTGAGGAGAAGTTCACATTCATTAAGCTTGGTTTTACTTTTAAAGGCTGGCTAGAGTTTTCAGTGGCTTTGCTGTCCTTGAAGATAACTCAGAGTTGAACAGAAGATTTTCTGATGCTAACACAAAAGACTTACTAATAAAAATGTCCAGTAGCAACATAAAGCAGAGGTATTGATGTTGCTGATTTAGAGTTTCATAGATGTTAGCAGATTATCACACACCATGTTTGGTATTTAGTATATTTGCAGCTCTTCTCCAGGAAAATAAATAGTTACAACAAATGCCTTATGCCTCAGCACTTGAAATGTCATATTCATTTCAGTTTCTAGGAAGCTGTGATATTTTAAACTGGGAAAAAATAATAACTGCAACCAAATAGGTCCTGTTACACTCCTGAGTTTCCAGATCTTAAATCACTCTTGCAGTATCAAAGCAATGAAGGGCAGAGGTGAATGAGGGGACAAATGGTGATCAGTGGGATATTAGATGTGTTGAGAAGTTTCACTAGTCTTATTAATTATATTTATAACCCTAAGCCATTTAACTGGTGCTATCAGTAACAACTGATAGATAGATAAGTAAATTAGCTCAGGTTTTCATGTATGTGCTGTAGCAGGAGGATATTTGAACAGTGACACAGGAGAAGCAGGGTTGGTGAAAGCTGAGTGGAAGCATCAGAGCTGTGCTTAGCAGGAGCTTGGTCCAGGCTTTGCAGGGGACTTAAAGCATTCCAGCCATGTGCATTTGGTAACAGGGGTTTGGGTGATAATTCAGGTTTGACTGACTTGTCTGTACAGAAGCTGAAATGTGTTGTTTCTGGTGAAGAAGGCAAAAGGTTAATAAAGGAATTTCACCTTGATGTTTAATACTGAATTCAGCTGTGATTAATGGCTTTATTAATGACCCACAAATCAGAGCTGGTGGTGATGTAACAATATTTGTGTGGAGCTTAAGTTGGAATGGCGAAGCAAACGAAAGGAAATTCTGAGTAGCTTTGGGAAACTTGAGCCATTGGGGTGAACAGAAAATATAAAGAAAGGTTTAATATATGTATCTGAGAGAAATGCATCTGCATCACTGCAAGGCCTGGGTTAGTTTTGCTTTGCATGTGTGCTGGTAGAAGTGGGGTGCAGGATTGTTGCTGTGGGTCTTGCCTTGCTCCAGGAATGACTCACGGATTTCACCTGTTGGCACAGGCTGGAGTGAAAACAAGCAGTGGAAAAAGGTCTTGTCTCCCTCTTCCTGCTTTTTGGCACATGGCCAGTGTAAACAATACTTTTAAGGGACTAAAGAGGTCGTGTTTCTCTTTCCAGCAGTAAAGGAGTCCTTGGTGGAGGTGTTTCTGTGCTGCTCACCTAACATTCATGATGTTACACTACAGTCAGTAGTTACAGAAAAAATGCTTCTGTGCCTGCAAATACAGCCAATTATTTACATGTTAATTGTCATCTCTCTGATGTACTAATCTGGTCTGCACTACATGTCTGTCATTTATATTTTATATAATAATATTATTTATAAATTTTTCATAATATTATATTGCATTATTTCACTAATCATTTTATAATATGCAGTAGATTACTACAGTTGTATATATCACTTGTGAAATTTTCTACCATTTGAAAAGTCAACTTAAATATACCTTTTGTTTACTGGTGTTATTTTAAAGTATTGGTGTTAATCATAAATTGTTAATTGCCAATGACCAGTGGTTAAGCACCAGTGGATTATGGATTATGACAGGGCAGCATTGACAGAAATGCTGTGCTTTACTGTGAAGCAGAAAAACCCAAAGGTTTGAACTCTCTTGCTGCTCTTGCATCCTGGACACTTTAGACAATAGTCAATAATAATGAATATTTTCTCCTCCAGGGCAAAGGAATATGAGAGCTTGATGGAAGCAAAAAATGCTGTGTCTGACTCACCATTTAAAGCCAAGTAAGCATTTATCTCTATATATTTTAGACATAAACTTTTTCCCCCTGTCTGTCACAGAAGTGCCCCTGAAATTTCTGGTGGAGCAGGTGTGGAAGATTTCCCCCAATTTGGGGCATGTTTCCATCCTGAATTACACATCAGTCCCTGATACAAAAGGTCAGACTTCAATAAATGCAATAAAGACAATAAATGTGTCTTTTTTTCTGAAGACACTGTATATCTTAACCTGTACATCATACCTCTATATCATCCTGCAATGGTAAAGAGAACATACACTTCTCTTTTTCTTACCTGGAAACAAGAGGGTTCCAGTCTTGTACTGTAAGACTGATGGGTGAAAATTCAGCTGCAATTCTGGAATTGGAAATCTTATGTTTGACCTCCATTTGGTCAGAAACAAAGGTACTTGTGGTGGAAACACAGATGCTTTAATGCACAGATGTCTTAGGCTGACATTGGGCTTTTTAAAGAATAGATCTTTATATTGTCAAGGATAAGGCACAGATGAAAACAGCTGGATGGTAGATGAAAACAAGATCTGTGATCACTGACAAATTCCTTCTGCTTAGTTTGAAAGTGAAAATTGCTCAGCTCTTGTTTTCTGATTCCATGGAAACCAGTTGGGAAAAGATGCAAAATATTTGGATTTCCAAGATTACTTTGATAAGTTCTATTACCTAAGATTTTAAAAGAAACTATACAGCTGTAGTTTAAATGCAAAACAGTTAGGAAATTGAAAAGAAGTGGAGTTTCATCAGTCCTTGGCAGGACAGGGAGGATACCAGTAGAGTTGTGCAGTTTTGTGATGGTCAACACATTCTCAAATGACTTGGAAAATGCAGAGATTCAGGACAGTAGAGACAAGAATTGGTGCTGAATACTAATTTTGAAGAGAGTGAGTGAGCAGACAGTAAAATGGCAGGTGAAATCTAGTGTATATTGAGTGCTACCCAATGGAAGGGGAAGACAGAACTCAATTATATCTTCACATAAAAGTGTGGGCCTTGAATTAGCAGATGGGATAGGTAGTTCCTGGAAAATATCAGCTCAGTACTCAGCAGCTCATAAGAATCCTTCAGTAAAATTACTTAGAAACAAGCAAAAACAGAACAAATGTCATCAGGTACAAATACCTGGGTGATTTACATCTTTTGAACAGGATGTCTCTGAACAGATAAGCTACAATTGCTAAAGGTTCAGAGATGGCAGAAAGGGCAATATGTGATGATTTCAGGTAGGTCTTATGTATCAGGAAATAAGTAAACTAGTACTACTCCTGCAGGAAAATGTGATAACAGGGAGAAGTTCCTCTGGGGTTATGTCCTAGAGATCTACAGTGTCACAAACAGCGTGGCAAAGATGGATGGGGATTGTTGGCTGTCTCCTTGGTTCCAGGACAAGGGAGCACAGGGGAAAGCTGAGCCAGGTTCTAGAGAAAGCAGACCCAGTGTTCTCAGTGCAGCATGAGGGAGATGTGGGGAGCTCCCACAGGTGCTCACTGACAGCTTCCCTGCATTCCTGCAGCTCTAGGAAAGCACAGCCAGACACTCCTAAGCCAGAAGTGGGGAAACAAACAGATTAGTAAAGAGGATTATGCAGCCTGGGCTGTTCTTAGTGTTCCTGAGACATCCTCTCCCCGTGGGCAGATGGGGAGTGTGCCTTACTGGCAGCTGGGCTCTGGGACTCTGCAGCATCAGCCAAGGGCTGTGGGCTCTCAAGAGCTGGAGTCAAAAACCCTCATCCTGAAGTTGTAACAACTTTCACATTGGGGATATTTGTCTAATAACTGTACCAGATCCTGCCTGTTTTGTGGTTGCTTCCATCACTCCCAAACTGCTGGGGCAGGTGGCCTTTTGTACAATGGCTGGTGGTTAAGCAGTTCAGATCCTTGCAGTTAGACCTCTTTGATGTACATGCAACCAGCCTGTATGCAAGTATATTTCACATAGGCTTTTCAAAAGCTTGAAAACTGCTGCTGAATCTTAGATGTATTTTGAAACAATAAAAATCCATCACTGAGGTTTGACACAAGAAAATGACCCATCTCCAGCAGATGGCACACCTGCATAAACACATGGGAAAGAGTTGGCTTCGTTTCTTGGCCATCAGCACTTTTTGCAAGATGAATTTCATGGTATATTGAGACTTTTAGATTTGTAGCTTTTGTGTTTTGCTTTTCTTTGCTGCTAGAAAATAAAAAATTAGGTTCTAGTCATCAGAAAGTAGAAATGTCTGCATTTGACACTGAAGATATTAATAAGCTCTGTGTTAAATTCTGTGTCTCTGTGTTAAATTCTGAGATTATCAGTGATGTAACTTGGTCACTTCTGTCTCAACTGTAGCCCTAGAGAAACTCGGATTTTAAATTTTTTAAAAATGTTTTCAAATCTTTTGACTGATCCTGAATTTACCATTTTCATTTCTCTTTATGCAATTAATTGCTTATTTGCTTTCAGGCAGAATCTTCTGTTCTATCTGCTTTTTTAGTTTCTTCCTTTATTGCCTCCTTTCAGGTGTGAGCTGGTGATGGCCACTGTGTAGCTCACTTCCATCACAGTCTAGGGAGGTCTCTTTGCAGTGTTCATGTAAAAATCTAGAGATCTATCAGCTGCCTTCATCTAAATTTTTAAAATATCCTTTCAGGAACCATAGTTATTGTTATTTCCAAAATTACACAACTTTTTACCTGCTATGAGGGCTTAAATATTCAAGTACTTCCAGTTTCACAGATTGTCTGGTTTTTTCCTCAGTAATCAGTATTTTGGTGTAATATCTTAATATCATAATATCTTATGAGCTTCTTTGAAATCAAGCAGGTTAAAAATGGGAACTCAAGTCTGAACTGGCTTTTTAAGTAGAGGAGTGTCTGTGAGCCAGCCAGAAGCCCATTTATTTCTGTTAAAATGTGTTTACTTTGCACATCACATATTAGAAAATAGAAGAATAGGGAAGTATTATCTCTTTCTGTAAAAAAAAGGATAAGAGGGCAAGAAATTTTATGAGGCAAGAGTTTTAGCCTGGACTGTATCTATTAACATGGGACAACCTAGTCTTAGTATAGAGAAAAATAATAGGAAAACACAGAACTGAGGAGGGGATCCTACTTCAGCAAGGCCAGCAGGAAGAGGACTGAGACAACTGAGGAATAGTTACTGAGAAAAGTCCCACCATGGAATGAAGAGGGTAAAAAGAGCACCTTTGAATGCTAAATGCAATCTTTGGGTAAAACAAATGGGAAGAGTTTTTGTCTTTCCCAAGGGAAGGTTTGAGGTACTCAGATTGGAGTGGAAGCGTACCAATGAACAGAAAATATCTTTTGACTTAGTGGGCTGTGGAGCTTAAAAATGGAGAAGTTCCTTTTTAAAATCCCTTTAAAGTGGGACACAGTTGGTAGGTTTATTTATTTGCTTAACAGAAGCAATGTGTTTTAGAATTAAATTCTTTTATGCTTCCTTTCTTATGCCACATTTCTTTATCCACTCCTCTCTCTACCCCCAAACTGAGAGTGTCTTCACAACCAGAACCACTTATGGAATGCAAGTTCTTATCTGATTTTAGTTCTTAGTCATGTTGTCAGTTGTTACAGAAGAAAGACAGAAACCAGAGTTAGTCTTTGGCAGGTAAAAAGCCTTTTTAGATCACCTTTAAGATTAGGCCACTTTAATATTATGAGACCACTGATTTGCTGATGCAACTGATAGACTGTTTCAGTGGTTCTTATTAGTTGAAGGTTTGCAGATTTATAAAACCTTGTGCACTAAGGAAGCACTGATCCAAGTGCTTTCTGAGCTCTGCTCTGGTGCTGCACTGACAGCAATGAGCTGCCAGGCTTTATCCTGCTGTGACAGACAGTGGGTGTCCCTTGCTCAGTGGTACAGCACTGATTCATGCCTGGGATTGTCAGTGACTCCAAGGAGTTCTTCCACAGAAATGACTTCTAAATATAGCTGGGACAGTTGGGTTTTTAGTATCTGTTAAAAAATGGTGTGCATTAGGGAGAGGGGTGGGATAATTCCAAATATTGCCTTGTTGGGTCAGTATTTTGGTCTCTGAACTGTTCCACGTGCCAAGAGGGACATTCAAGGAAGGGACTGTGGACATTGTCACCTGGAGAAGCCCAGTGTTGCTCCCTGCCTTTCTCAAGTGCATTTGCTGGTTGGTCCCTGGTGGCACTTAGGTAATTTTGTAGGTGCTGGTGGACTCTTGGTGGGTTTGTAGTATTAATTCATATTCTCTAGGAACTGATCTGAGCAATTATTCAGTGTGCAGTGTACTGGGATAACGTGGCAAAAGGTGTGTCAGGTGTCCATTGGAGCATTCTCAGGTGTCCATCAGAGCACAGTTTGAAAAGGGAAGGAAAACATTTTCACAAAGTTAGAGGGTTATTTAGATCTATTTAATATTTTCTAATGCAGAGGCAGGACCATGTATTTCAGTGTTAAATATCCAAGCAGTAAAGTATAATTGTCATCCTTCAATACAACAGGGACACTAAAGTAATGAAAGATTGCCCTGTGCCTGAAGGGTATTAGCAGGTTTCAGGGGGAGAAGTTTTGTTCTGATATTTTAACTAGTCTCTCTTCACATAACAAGGAATTGTTTTAATGTATTCTCTTTATTTACCTTTTGTTTTTAATTGTAAAGGGATATTTCAGATAGTGTGGATATTGGAACCACTGTTATCCTGGAAACAGACTGCAGCACAAAAAGAAGAAGGAGAAAAAGAAATATTATTTAATGTGAGAGTCTGCTGCAGACGAGATGGGAATGTAGTGTGAAGTTTGTTCTTTCAGAAGCCCAAAGCTAAATGGGCTTTAGCTGATGCAATACTTTCTTTCCTTCATTATAATATATCAGTGTAGTCACAGGATAAACTTATCTTGTAGGTTTTCTTGGTGTAGAAGGCTTAGAGTCCAGTTAGGCCAGTTGTAAGATATTATACCAAAATACTGATTATCTGATTACTGTGGAAAAAACAGACAATCTCTGAAACTGGAAGTACTTGTACAAAATTTAATTTCCAAAATGTTGTGGAAACTGTAGAAGAGCTAGAGTGTAAATAAAATAAAATTCAGGTAAACTTAAAAACAAGATAAATAATGGGTATGACTGGGCAGGTGGTGGATTTCCTCTTCAGAAAATAGCTAAAATATTCTAATGGGAATGCAAATAAATGGATTCAGAAACACACCCATCCTTCCCTGGGCATCAGTGCCCAGCCCAGACATTGGGTTAAACCCCCAAGTGCTGGGTACATTGGTGCTGCTATTTCAAGGCTTTTTGGCTTTTTTATGGAGATGAAATGTGGCCTAGAAATACTGGCAGATCTTTTTCCTTTAGCCTATAAAATATATTAAACCTCCTAAAAGTATTTAGCCCATGTTAGGATCCTTTGATATGAATAGCCCTTGTTTTCCCATTGGCAGTGGAAAAAGATCAGATCCTGTATTTGTATTTGCTGAACATACAGTTTATTAGTTTACATGATGGTGGTGTTCCAAGACAAATCAGGGCTTAACATCCTTCTGATACTTGTTCTGCATTCTGAATTATCCATTTGTGAGGAATACTAAAACCTTAATAAGTGAGATGTAAATAATTTAAGGGGAAAAAACATTACCTTTCTCTATTATCCTGCACAGCAAAGTTTCAATTATTTATCCTTCTATGTATGGCTTAGTAAGCATTGGAGGAGTAAAAATTGGGGGACAGAAAGAAGACTAATTAATTGTATTGAGATGTTTGGATTTGGATTCATTGGTGTTTTTCCAGAATCACTGGATCAGGTGTGGATGCCATGTCCCAGAAATCCCCAGTGCAAGCCAAGAGTGTGCCAGGAGTCCAGTGTGTACAAAGAGCTCTCTCTTTCCAAATCCATTCATAGCAATGGCAAATTCTGCATCCAAGCACAAGTCCTCGAGCATAGATTTCCAGTCCTTTGAAGCAGTCCAAAAATTATTCTTATTTCCCTGACACGGCCAAGAAGTCAGTATGAAGGATATTTCAATAATTCCTCCAAGGCTCACTGGTGGGAGGAGGCAGGTTTTATTTCCCCTCTCCTCCCCATGTGATCACACAGCACCTTTGACTGGTTTTGGTAGAAAACTCCCTCTGCACTAGGATATGAGGATGTAAGAGGTAATTCTTCAATGTGACAGAATTGGAAATTCATTCTTCCAGTTTCTTACTCTGTGATGCTGAACAGTCATCCTTCACAACACCACACTTAGAAAGTTTGAATTTTGCTAAAAGTATCCAGAAAGACTTTCAGAAGTAATGGAAAGCTGGAAGCTTTCCCTGGGGAGTTACTACTGTACAGGTTGTTTTTAAAGTGAGAACAGAAACTGAACCTATGGAGCATCTGAACAGATGCAGAGAAGGACTCTGGTGTCAGCTGTGTCAGCTGAAGGCTGTGTAAGATGATTGTGTTCTCTTGGAGTCCCTGTGAGCAGTGTTTTGATAAGCCTTGCACATTTTGTATGCTGATGCCTGATGGAGATTAGGGAAGTGCCTTTCTTCAGCCTCTGTGGTTAATCCTGGTGGAATTCCATTCCTGTGATGTTAAATTAAGCAAATGGAAACCTTTCTTGCTGTCTTTTGTCAGATGAAGTTACAATATAGGACGGTGGGCTTTATATAGGCTTTAATAGTGGAATTTGGGTAGATATACCAAAGAAATAAAATATTTTTTGCTTAATGTGCTAGGATATTGCCAAGGCAATAGCCATTCTAAATCCCACTGTGAAAATACTCTGCTTGTGGACTGCAGCAGTTCCACTTCTCATTGGTGCTGTGGTCTTTTGATTTACTGTCCAAGTCCTGCAGTTATTTGGGCTTTGGCTTTTAGTTTTGTTTCCCATTTTAGCTTGTGGCTTATGGAGATAGACAGAGGTTTCCTCCAACCTCATTTTCCACAGAGGAAATAGCAGTGAAAAAAATCTCATCAGGATGTAATCTCCTTTTATTTTTCTTGTCATGCAAAAATCCTGGTTGTATATTAGTGGGCTCAGCTGACCAGATGATAAGAAGTCCAAAACTCAAAATTCTACAAATCATTTTTATTTGTACTTCAGGAGCATATATGTATCTTCAGCATGTCTTTAAAGCTATTAATGAAGCTCCTAATTTTTTCAAAGAGAAGACACAGAGTACCTGTTGTCTCTTGATTAAGTGGAAACTCCCTATTCTTCTATAAATTAATACTCTGATTTTGGGGAGTTTTTTTTTAACATAGTGTGACTATTGTGGTACATTCTCCAGCCATTCCATCTCCTGTCTCACTTCTGGGAGTCTGGTTAATGTAATCTTTTTCTTTTCCAATACTCTGTGGTCACTTGTGAATGCCTTCTGGCCCTTTAACCCTGACATCTCCATTTTATGATGAGCACTCTTACCCTTCCCCTCTTTTTCCTTCCTCTAGAATTCTGTGTGTAGGCTGGCAGTCCCAGCAGTGTCTGCCCCTCCTCCTGCTGGGTTGCCAGCTCTGTCCCACTCAGTGCAGGTGCCAGTGGATGAAAGCAAAGTCCAGCAAGCCCTGAGCCTTGTCCCTGAGAGCAGCAGGAGGGGACGCTGAGGCAGTGGCACCAAATGCAGGCAGGGACAGAGCGACACCTCCTCTGCAGGGAAGGGACTCTGGCAGCCTTGTCTCCTCTGCCTTGCTGCTCCCACTGCACCCTCACCCTCTGGGCACAGCAGGATAAATAAACTCTGGCTGTTTTCACTGCTGGATTCTGTATTTTGTGCCCCTCAGTGCTGAGCAGCAGAGCACAGGTGAATAGCCCAGGTGCAGATGTGTAAAACTGAAATGGAACCCAACCCATGTGTGTCACCATCACTCCCACCTCTGCAGTTTGGCTTCATTACTGACCCTTGTTAATAAAATGCCCTTTCTGAGGTAGGCTGCAAAGCCATTGCTTTTCTCTTATTGAAATAACCCTGAAGAGCCATTTCTTTTATGATGCCTATAAGAAATCAGCCAAGTGGTCCTGCTGTTCCATTTCCCTTACTCATCTTAAACAGGGTGAAACCATTTGAAAATGAGGATGGCAAAAACTACCATGATAAGCTGTGGAAGGGGAATAGGGAAACAGCAGAAACAAATGTAGCTCATAAAGCCCCTTTATGGCTGTACTGTTCACTCTATAGCTGTGCTGTTTCCTTGAAAAAGCAGATAGTGAAATGTCACTCCAAGCTGACAGTATCTCCTTGGATGTTTACCATCCTGTACAGAATAGATGATAACAATATTTAACATAGATTTTCATGATTCCTTCATTGGTGCCAGAGATTCATTACAAAGATGTAGGTTAATAAGGCAGTTTTTGCTTTAACTGCTCTTTGTTTTCTGTTGAAGGTTACAAAGATTAGCAAAAGACCTTCTGAAGCACCTCCAAATGCAGGATGGCTGTTCCTTGGGGAACCACAAAGTTCCTGGTCTGGACAGGACTTTAGGAGAGATCTCTCGGATTCTGGAGAAAGAGGTATTGTGACTTCTGACTGACCTAGACATTGGTTTGCCCTCAAGTGTCATCAGGGTGGATTTGGGAATGTTTAATGTGAGATGCTGAAGAATAAATGACCTCTATGTAACAAGCAGTGTCTGCTATAACACTTTTCACTTTTTCCCCCTGTATTTTCATGAGGATTGTTTTTAACCTGGGTCATTTCAGTCATCTAGCTTGTAGTGCTTACCCACAAACAGCTTTTACAATAAGGGCCCAAAGCAATTAGCAGAAAACAGAGGAAAGAATTGGATCCAGGTTTGCTGGAACACCAATCTGTTGAGTTTTGCCAGAGTTCAACAAAGTCAGTGGGTCTTCACTGGAGGAGGAAGGTATAATGTGCATATATGTGGGATATTCCTACATTTTTGACTTTTTAAAAGTGATATGATTGCAGAGCATGTTTTGCTTTATGGTAAATGTTGGATTTTGTTTTTTAAATTCATAGCACCACATTTGCATCTTTTTTCCTATTTCCTCATTGTCAGTCTGCTGCCACAGTGCTTTCTGACTTGTAATGTGGTTTTTTTGCTCCATTAGGAGCACAGTATTTGGGTTTTCAGCTGGAACATTATGTTCTGTTCTCTCTGCAACCACCAGAAAATATTTCTCTTTCTTATCTGTAATCAAGACATAATGAAAATTAGTTCTGGAAGAAACCAAATTAATGAAATCTGATGAGGAGATTGCATCATTGTGGTTCAGACTTGATGTTTGTGAAAATGAGAGCTCTGCTTGATGCTTTTCACAGCTTGGTCAGTGTGGAGAAGACAATTGTTAATGGCACATGCTTTTCAGTGCTGGAGGCTGCCTGGGATGCACGGGCTCCTCACTGTGTTCTGGGGGTGCCTTGGAGCTGCTCATCAAGCTTAAGAGTGTGTTTGAAAGACTTGTGCCATTTTCACATTGTACAGGCTTCCATTAATTATTGAAAAACTCATTTTTTATTGATTTCAAAATACAGAAATCATGTTGTTGCATGACAGTGACGAAAAGATGAATCTGTGTGAAAGTTATCTAAATAATCCTTGGAAGTTCTTTGGAATGTGGAGTTGCATCCAGCCTTTTCACTAGCAGTCATCTGCTGAGATTTTTTTAAATTGAGATGTGAATTGCAGCTAAGTTTACTCATTAATTGTTTACATGGTTTTGCTGGTTGTTGAGTCTGCAGTGGGGAATTAAAAACTAAGTTTGATAGTATTAATAGATGTGGGTTATTTTGTTGTTGATTTGGGGTTTTCCCCCCAAAACATGTACCTCCCTCTGGAGAAGTATTTTTCTATCTGAGTGTCCTGATCAATAAGGTCAGGAGGGATTGATTTCAGTGTTCACAGCACAGATCTTACATGGCCATTTGCAGGAAGGGATGGGAATTCTCTTGTTAACCTGGGAGTCAGAAATGCACAGGCACATCTTACATGTCAGTGGGCACTGCAAGAGCCTGATGGTGTCAGTCGTGGGCTGAGAGGAGGAGACTGACACTGTTAATTGAATTTCCCTGGAGAGCATAAAAATATAACCTAATGTGGGGGGAGGAAGGGGGAGTGGGAACCACACAAGCTGTCAGTGTGTGTGAGCTGATAACATTGATTTACCCTTGCTAATGGCCTGGCTTGAATAAAGAATTGCCCTGAGGGAGGACAGGGTTCACTACAATAGATCCTTGCCACTTACTAGAAATTCTTCTTACTCACAAGAAGTCCTCCAAAACTATTACAAAATATAATTGATCCAAAACCCCTCTTTTCATTCATGCTGTGAAACATTGGATTTTTCTTTTGTTAATAGTTTGCACTGCCAGAAAAATTTATGTATTCAGGCTCACCAGGAATAAAAGGATTGGTTTTACAGATCATGAAATGAATTGCTGAGCTGGTGTTTGTAACAGTAAATAAGAAAAATATATACCATTAAATTGCTCAACAGAAGGAAGGGCTATCCAGCTCATTAGAAATTCCACGACTGTGCTAAAACAGCCTGAAAGGATGGGGTGTAATATTTATGCAAACTTGAATCACAAAAAAAGCCACACACAAAAGATTTGCAGCCCTGTCTCAATGGGATTTGCCTCCAGGTACAAGCAGATCACACTAACAATTTCTGTTTGGACTTAGCCTTCATCTGATGTGTTCCACTGTACTGAATAAGGCTTTCTCTCATTTCTGAACCTCTTTCATGGTGTGAGAACATTCTAGGCTGCTGCATGCCTGCATGCTCATTGTGGTCACACTTGCTCTTGTTTCTGCCTTCCTGCTCTGCTGGACACAGCACATTCTGCACCTGGGCCAAGTGATCCCACTAATACAGCAAGAAGTGCTTGTTTAATGCAGTTGTAAAGGTTTATATATCCTCTAGATACTCAGATTGGAGAAATCTCTCTCAGGCAAAGATGCATCTTAAGCACTGTGTATTTTGGAGTTGTGGCTGTTTATTGCAGCACTTTACCTGCTCCTCATTCACTGCTGCTGGATCCCTGTGCACCACAGCATGTTGGAGTGCTAACAGATGAAAGAGATGTGCTTTGCTTTGCTTCAAGTGGTTGTTAGATCTCCATCACTTCCTGATGTGCCCACATTGGCTTAGTTGGATGAAGCTCTACAAAAAGCAGGAGCTTTGTGTCCAGTGCTGGAAAAGGATTTGTGAAGAATAAGCAAATTGAAGTGCAGGTTTTGAGGATCTGACTTGGAGTGTGGCCATTAGTTTCATGAAACATGTGGCTCACGTGCCTTTAAATTAAATATGCATAAGAGGTACTCTAAAGCCATAAACCACCATATGCTTCCAGTTTTCAATAGGTTTGTGTCCCTCCAGCCACGTGTTGGTAGGAGGCAAGGAGCACAAATCCTGATGTTGTGTGTGCCTGGAGTGCTGTTCCCCAGGTGTGTCCAGCCAGTGGTGCTGCTCTGGGTGTGCTCTGGGTGATTGGAAGGCAGTCCTTGGGTTTGTGTGTCTCACCCTGGCTGGCAGAAATCCTGGCAGGAAGCTGCAGTCACTTTCACCTCTGCTTTGTTTAAAAGGACATTAGGAAAACAAACACACACAGAGCCACAACAGCAGAATGCATGTAAATATTTCCAGAAAGCCCTGGCCTGAGGTTGGCAGATGTCATATGGGACTCTTCAAGCTCTTAGTAAGATCTGATAACCCTCAGTTTAACATCCCCTATGAATGGGCCTTTGATGCTAAAAGAAAAACTCTTCCAGAAGGCAGAGCTGATGTTTGAAGTGGCAGTGCTGGAGCACTTGTCCTGCCATGATTCTTTTGATTTTATGCATGTTCATTCCTTGAAGGACTAATTTTCCCCATCCATCACTGAGGGTAGCTGTGTTTCAGATGCACAAGGAATCCCACAGTGAGTGCTGGAGCCTGCCTTCAGCAGTCCCACAGAAATGTGGGAACTCTTAGGAGCCAGGGTACTGAGAGCTGTGTAACCTGTTAGTGGGACTGCAGCTGCACTTCTAACTTGCTTCTGCTTATATCATTTATTTCCCTATTATGTAAAGAGGTGATATTCCCTGATTTAAAACTTTCCTGATTGAAAAGATCAACTGATTAAAAAATGTCTGCTGCATACACATGAGGCCCTGACCTGACTGAAGTACATACATTTCTAAGGCTGTGACCCTGGCCTGGGTCAGAGGTTGCTGCCTCTCAGATGGTCATCCTTACACTTGCCAACAGAACATCCCTTCCCTAAAGCTCTTCCTAATATTTGTTCATAGAGGGTTTGGTGTTTCTTCAGGTTTTAAAAGTCCTGCTTTTAAATGGTAGAAGTGTCCTGTGTGGTTTTGGACAGGTCTGTGCTGGGCAGGGTTGGCAGACATTTATTCTGTTGCCATTGAAGGGTGGTGACAACAGCTGAGGGCAGTGGCCTTTTCACCTGGCTCAGCTGCAGCTAAAACTGCAGTTAAATCACTGCAGCTAAATTTGTACAACACTTACATGTGACATTTAGGCAAGCCCTTAATGTGTCTGTTCTCCATCTGACTGGGAATGTGGCACACAGATTCAGTAGGATTCTGAGGGAACCTCATGATTTTTGGAATTCAAGGGCTACAGTTAATCTGCTCAACTGGAATTGCTTTTATATGGTGCTTCTTGCTGATTACTGGTTTGAAAAAGATCTCCACCACAAGAGGAGTGATAAGGTTCCTTTAAGTGAGGGGTTTGAGTGCAGCTCTCCCAGCTCTGCTTTGGGAGAGGGCTGCAGAGCAGGGTGCAGGTTTTATCCATGGCCCAGCACAAACAGAAGAACTGAGGCTCTCCCATATACTCACAAGGCACAAAATCCTACAAAGAAGATTTCACTGCTTCTGCTCATAAAACTTGCTCTGATTTTGGATGGGTTTGAGGATAGCTGTGTCCCCGATCTCCTTCAGGCTCTGTATGTGCTGTAAAAATCTCAGCAAATAACAGTGAGTGCAAAATAAATTGTTAAAGTGTGCAATTAACATGGAACCACAAAATAAAACAGGAGGCTTTTGATAAACTGGGCCACAGTGCTTATGGTTATTGCCAGCTCTCTTCATGCAAATCTAGAAGCAGCTGCCTCTGAATAGTCCAAGTATGATTATTTACATTACTAATTCAGAATAATATTCTGGAATATATACTGGAATAATATACTGGAAACAGATTTCAGAGGGAAAAAATACTTCCTTAGAGAAGTGTATCATTTTGTAACTGAAAAATGTGTGAATATTGACTGCAGTGGTTTAATCCATTTTCTAAAAAAATTATCTCAATGCTCATGATCTCTTAAGACATGCTCGCTCTCTCAGTGACCATTAATGGTTTGTTTTGTGTCAGGCAATGTTTTTGGGTTTGGGATTTTTAGAGAGATTTTTCAGCCTCCTGTTTGAGCAGTGGTGATGTCAGTTATTTACATTTCAGTAAAATGTTTGTCGTAGCTTTCAAATACATGGGAGCTGTAGACAGACAGTGTTTATCCCATTGTAAAGACTGTCAGAAATGGCTGG